GGGGGGGGGTGGGGGGGGGGGGGGGGGGGGGGGGAGCCCCAAGAATCCACTTGCCTCGGACCTCGCAACTTCTTAATCCGGCCCTGCACAGGAAGTACCCTTGTATCAGCGGAAGGGGTCAGAAAGTTGCTCATGTGCCCCCGCGGGCCGCATGTGGCCCGTGGACCTGCTTCTTGCGGCCCGGTAATACATAATGGGATAAAGATAAGTTTCTTTGCGGCCGAAGGCCCATCACAACTTTGGCCATCCCTGGATGGCCAAAGTTGTGATGTGTTTGTGATGTGTTTGTGTTTGTGATGTGTTTGTGAACGAAAATAAGGAACTGTCAGAAAGTGTGCGGAAATGTCAAGGACCGTTTCCAGAAATGTGTCAACTGTGACGGTCACCAGTTTGAACATCTCCCAGAATAGCTTCTAAATGTTTTGTTAATGAATGAATAAACAACTAACTGTATAGCTACTTTTGCACCACCCTGTTTATATCCATCCTCCATATCCTTCAAACCATCCATCCATATGCATAATCCTTATACATATCCGTATACATAAGAGGCTAATCTGCCTGTCATTCCAGGAAACTCTTCCTAGATGGATGAACGGATTTTCATGATTGAGGTGTCACTCGAAAGCGTATGACCTGCAGGCGGTATTTATTGGGTCGAAAGTCCAAAAAGTCCTACCATCTTGATGTATCGTACTCGAAACCCGATTGCCGACCGAACTTTGCGGGCCCGACCTGCGGAACGTGTTGGGCCGATCCGCACCCCTCTTTTTGATCGGGCCGGTCCGTAACCTGCTTAGACCTCTGAGCTTAAGAACTCGAGGTATCTGATGAAGTATGTGTATTCGTTCGCACCCGACCGGAAATCCGATCGCCAACCGACCTACACGCCCGATGCGCAGCTCAGATCGGTCCTATCGGGCCAATCCGCATCCCGGAGTTCGAAAGTTCAAACGCGGCGCATAGGCCTATACGGCGACTCGATTCAGCTGCTGTGATGTCAGATAGGAAGTCGTAAAGAAGGCACTGACGTTGGGCGGTCTTGTTAAAGTCCATTTTGGAAGTCATGGTTATAGGCTTTGAACGACTAAGCAACTGCTGCGTAGTCACGCCCACACACCCTTTATAGGAATTTTTTTCCTGGAAAATTCTCGAAACGGCCAGAACTTTCCGATCGACCCAATATTTACATCCTATCGGAAGGATTAAGGACAGATGCCCCGAAGATCAAAAGGCGTTTGCGGATCCAACTGCCCGGAAGGGCCTTATCAGGTGTCCGCTTGCGAAAGTGAGAGCTAAGAGTTGGTGGGGGTGCGCAAAGTAAGGTGACCAGACGTCCCGATTTAGGCGGGACAGTCCCACTTTCAGACCACATGTCCCGGTGTCCCCCGATGAAGTAAGCAGGACGCCCAAATGTCCCGCTTTTGGAAAATGTCGATGACAGAATGATACGACGGTTGAATTTCTAGCCTTGCGAGTTTCAGAACTTCTCCTAAACATATTGTGACGGTCTTGGCGGCCTGTCTCGTCAGACCACCCTTCCGGAGTACTGAATCTGGCACGTTGGGGTACTGGCGAGATCCGCCCTCCAGTCCGCAGACCGGATGCTGACACCGGGGATAACTGTAGCCGTACAGGAAGCTCTAGGATCGGGGTGAACCCCAACGAAACTCAGGAGCGCGGATAGTGGACCACAGCCAAACTTTAATGCGAGCCACTGGTTTCAACAACACAACCGAGTTTCTTTACCAGACCAATCAGGGCAATCCGGTCCGTCGCAATGCAAAGGAATGTCACAGCCAAGAAAGCTTATTACACATCAACCAAATACAGACTGCGATTGCCAGACGCGAACGCGGACAAAGGGGACAGGGACAATACCCGAGCCAGGCAAGTCTGCCGCCTAGACGATGATTCGGCACGAGGGCGTAGAGCAGTGATGCACAACCCGCGGCCCGCAGTGACCCTTTTTGCGGCCCCTTGGATGCCTCCGGTCTCCTAATTCCATATTTATACTCATGTTCGAAGGTCTGCGGCCCTTCATCCCCTCAAACATGAGTCGAAATCTAAATTTTGGCCCTCTACGGGGAAAAAGTTGTGCACCACTGGCGTAGAGGGTACGGAGCCTCGTTGCCTCGGTTTGCAAATGCGGTCCTGAGCGGGATGGACGGTGATTCGGCACGAGGGCGTAGAGGATACGGAGCCTCGTTTACCTCGGTTAGCGAATGCTGTCCTGAGCATTACTTTTTTTTTTGTTCAATGACTATTTATTATACAGTATGCCCTTTACAGGAAGAGGATACAAGATGGGAGGAAGTGGAATATACAGTTTCGGTTATGGAAAGGTGGTAATTCTTCAGAAGTTGTTGAAGTCCAGGTCTTGGGGTTGTAAGGTGGTGTGGAGGTCTTGGGGTTGGGTGGGTCCGCGGCCAGCCACCAGGTGGTGTTGTCAGGCCAGGGGTTGCTGAGGGAGGTAAAAGATATTTCAGTCGGCATGGTCATTGTGGGGGTGGTTTTTCTTGTTTTATAGTTTTTATTATTTTTTTTATTATTCATATTTATTCATTTTTATTTTATTTTATTTATTTATTTTTTATTTTTGGTTATTTTTGTCTATATATCTATGTATCTATATATATATATTAAATAGTAATGATTAAAGGGAGGTTCTATGGGTCAGTGATGAAGTTTTGTACAGCTAGATTAAGGAGAGGTTTGTGCGGCTATGCGACATACACTCATGCCATTCACACATCCTTTTGCTCGCACTTTCAGTCAGTTGCTCACTCTGTCATACGCGCATGCATACACTTATGGAAATATGGGGGATTGTGGTGGAGTGACTTAGCTTGGGTCATGGGGGTGCTTGAAGTCCTCCTGGGTGTGGTTGTTGTAGATTCTGTAGATCAGGACAGCTTGGAGTGACTGTCCTGGAAAGATAAGTACATCAGATTTTAGGCTATGAGGTAAAGCAGGTTAAGAAGGCGGCTGGGACAGGGGGAGGGGAGGGCCCTGACCATCTTCCGCTCTACGGTTCAGATTGAATAATGTCCTTACTCTTTTATGCTTTTTAAATTTGATTTACTTTTTACTGGTTACACTGATGTTACGGATATAATCCGGGCGTTTAGGGTTTTCAAAGTATTTAAGTGCAAGTTTGGAGGCGTACTGCTGCAATGGCTCTATTTTTGACAGGTGGTAAGCATTATGAAACAAGCTCCTGCTCGGGTAATCATGCCCACTCGGCTCCCTAGGTGGTGTGCATTATTCCCTCGCGCTTAACTTCTAAACAACTTCTTTCAGGATGCCGGAGTAAACATTCCTGACTCCCAACACAAGGGTGGTACACGGGGACCCACATCCACACATCAGATATTATTCCCTCCACACATCAGATATTAGACATAATAAGTCACCGGTTTAGGTCGTGGTAAATAACGCGGCGCCAGAGGCGCCATCTCACGTCAATCCAAAGAAATACACATGTTCATGGGTCTGGGTTACAAAAAAACACCGTACAACTATATACACGATTGGTAAAAATTATGTAAACATCGTTACAATATTGTTTAGGAGCAAAACCAAGCGAATATCATGATTATGAATAGCATATCTTGAGTTTTTTTTTATCCATGGGAACTGCGTAGATATCAATTGGCAATGGGAATTCGGATTCCCGAACAGCTAATGAGCCTAAAAACATGCTGGTTCTTGTTAGCAGGCATCTGCTCGTGCGCACTGCAGACGGCGAGGCCGGCCTCCCTGCCATCGTTTACTTTCATATTGCATGAACAAAGTGATACCCTTATACCTCGTAGTTGTCTCTGAGGCGGGGAAAGCCTCCAGGCTCTGACTTCCCATTCGCGATTCCGGACAGGAGTCAACTTTCAGGGACTGGACTCGACTCGTTTTGCGTCGATTGAGAATGAATTGAATGGTTCTCAGAGATTTCTTTCAGATATTTGATATTTTAATAGATGTTTTCAAATTGCATGGGAAAGTGACTCCTGAGAATTTTTGAGGAGGCCGGGCCTTCCCCTTGCCAAAAATGTGCCAAAACCCCTGCTTGTTGCAGTAAAGTGAAAATGTCACGGAAGCGTTTTGCACATGTGACGCTGCTGACATATTTCCTGAAAACGGAAGGACCACGACTCGGATGAAAGTCACGAATAACGTACAGGTTCACGAATTTCCAGTTGCATGCCTGCGCAGTAAAATCTGGGCTGAATCCCGAAATTAACTCTGTTCATCTTTAGCTTTGTTTCAAATATCGAATGCGCTTGTATTATTTATTGTTTAAATTCTGATTCCCTTTTCACCATTTCATTGATTTTTTTCGTTTCATTTTCTATGTTCGTGTGTTCGACGTCGTTTCGCATTTTCCTCTTCTGGTGATTTGATAACGCCTTCTTGCATCCGGAGACATTTGAAAGACAAGTTATACGAACTTTCCCGAAACTCCCTCTTTAGGGCTGGTTGCGCTACTGTGGATGCACAATTAAATAACAGCTCTATTTCGTGTTTGGCAATAATAAATACAATTGTCAGTCCTACAAATACATTCATATTCTTTTTCGAGAGGCAAGGGGACGTATTCATTGGGTGTCCCACTTTCGCGACACAGAATTCTGGTCACCTTAGTGCAAAGGGAAGTCTGAGGGTACGTGGGTACATGCCAGAGTGATTGGAAAATCTTGTGCAAGGGGGGAGGAGGCCATTCTTCGCAGGAAAGCTCCTACCCTGTCAGTTTACACTTCGCTGCCCCCCTGCAAAACCCCAGTATTTAGAATTTTCCAGAATTATTGATTGCCTTTGAAACGTGATAATTATACTTTTACCAAATACTGCTGTACAGGTATCACGACGAGAAGAATACAGGAAAAGGAAAAAAAACTCTTCTCCTAAGGTCCGGTGCGTCCCGACTCGAGTTCGAATGTTCGGGGGAACATAAACGCCATCTTATGCCTATTTTGAGTATTGTATTGGGAAGGCGGACATCTGCGTCTGCAACGTACCCATGTGTACGTCTGGACCACATCCGCACAAAGGTACGTGCGGAGGTACGCATGCGGATCCGAAGGACATAAATATGTACGTGTTATGTCTCACATTAGTACTTCTCCTCGTACGTTTCTACTTTGCTGTGCAGCGTCTCTTGTTCAGATCATGAAAAGTAAAGATTTCCCAAACCTTGTTCTTTCTAAATGCGAAAATGGAGACGATCCAGCAAAAATTTTCCGGGATTTGAACGGTGCCCTGGGTCTACTCACGATGATTGCAAGATGACCTCTGAAACTGGCTCTGTGGAACTGTCGAGTCCCCCTGGATGTCCACGCTGGGTTCGATCGAAGACAGCCATCCAGAAAGTCAAGAGTCGGTTGAAAGGAAGAAAGTTGGCCAGCAAACTCGACATTTCGGAGCAGAACTTTTCAACGAATGCTCAAGAATGATCTCTAGCTTCGGTTCTACCAGAAGACTGTCGAACCACTCCTCACTGACGACCACAAGGCCAAAGGATGAGGTTTGCCCATCGACTGCGCAACAATTTCCGAAAAGAAGACACGATGCGCATCCTCTTTTCCGGCGAGATGTTCGACATTGACGGTGTCTACAACTCCCAAAACGATCCAGTATGGGCAGTGGACCATGCTGAAGCCGACGAGATGGGTGGCATCAAACAAAAACGGAAATTTCCTCAGAAGGTCATGGTCTGGCTCGGACCATGACCTTCTGGGAGCTGATAAAAGGGCGACACCGCTGACCATCTTCGAGACAGGGTCGGTTGATAACGCTCGATGCACGCGAGAAGTGTTTCCGGTGGCCCTCAGATTCCCTTTTTGCTACCTGCTCCTGTAAGAGTAGCGTGGATGGAAAAAGTAGAAGGGCAAATGTCCCCCACCTCCTTGGTCCCCCCAGAGCCAAAATACCCCGCTGACGAAGCCAATGCTTTTGCGCTGGCATCAGACTAAAAAATCTTGGACAGTCCGAGCGAGAATTTCAGACAGGTTCCTTCATAAAATCATACATGGTTCGCGCCTTGATTGCAAATCGCAGGAGAAACACGCAGAGTTTGACTTCATATTCGCACAAGAGCTTATATTTTTAAGTACTGCTGTTTTTCTAGGACAATTGTGGTTTGGATAAGTCTTCCTCCTATAGGAAAATATTTTCTGAATTTTAATGACCCACACCACATATTACCGTTGCTGTTGCTGAATTGTATGCATTGTTCTATCATAGGGGTCGGGAACCATATTGGCCATATGAGCCATATTAACCCTTTCAGACCTGAATTAAGGCCACTATCGGAATAATATACTTTTTTGCATTTTTTTTTAGCTCTTTTGCTATTGTTCTTTGAATTTCCATGTCCCAAAAATCACTTTTATATTTTATATAAATTAACCATATCATACCATATATTATATAAAATGCAAGTAATTAAATAACTGAAGATTACTAAACTGATGGGTGAATGAAGGCCTCTGATGGAATTGAGCCATGCATAATTGCGCCTATTGTAGTGTAATTTGGGGCGCAAAGTCACGAGAATTCCAAGAACTTTCTATAGACACAATGAAAATGCCATGTCCGTTGGAATGGACCCCAGGTCTGATAGGGTTAAGATTGAGCTAAGTGATCGTGAGCCAAAGATTTTCAAAATAACAGAATTTTTCATGAAGTTCGCAACAGACATGTGCATTCTTTGATACATGAGAAACAACCATGATTTTTAGCCATGACTCATGAACCAAACTTTTCGGCTCGTGAGGCAAATTTAGCTCATAAGCAGTAGGTTTCCGATTCCAGTCAGACTAACAGCTCCATTCTTCAAATGCTAATAATTTTGGTGCATTTCACGGAAGGCCTAACTCTCTCATTGAGGACGAGAAGGCACAAAAAATTCCAGAAGCAAGCTTACGATTTCGTTTGGCCTATATGAAGCACAAGACCCATGTGAGTTGCCCAAAACATGAATCGAGGTTGTGGCATCCTGTCATGAGCCCCCTACGGGTAGCGGCCAGTTTGTCAGCACGCGATTTTCACCTGCTCACTTACCGATCAATAACAGAGGGGTAAGGCCTAAACCTGACTCATATCGATTGCATGTTCTGCTTCGATGAATCTGTAACGTTTTCTCCGTCGCTTAGGCCTGCCATCCCATTTCCACTTGTTTGTGGCTGCTCAAACAATCCAATGGATCCTTGAAAAGAAGGTGATGTGTGATGATGTTGGATGTAATCGTCCCTTTCCAAGAAACAGCACAAGTAGAAGGTCACAGTCGTACACCCTGCAAATGCTTAGCATTTAAGGGTCAGGTATGGCCATTATTTTATCTCTTCATTGTTATGAGGCGATTGTAAATTTTGCAGGCCTACTTTGAAATGTTGCACAAAGCATCCACTCTGTGGCTCAGTTCCTAATGAGAGGTGTTGGCAATGCCCGAGACAAGCCAAAACATGTTTATCGGACAAAATGACTGGTTGATTTATTGACAATATTGTGCTGCAGCCCAGAAACCAAGAAGAGGCACATTCCCATTTCTTATGGCTGAAAAAACATGGGGAGCTGTCAGTCTTGAACATCTGCACTGGAGACATAAAGCATGAAAGGAACCTCCATCATCAGCGAGGAAAGAATCTTGGATGCATCAATGTCTCAAAGGGAGGTGGGTCAAGTATTGCAAAATTCATCCCATGTTAGTCTTTGAATGGGTGAATATCCTTTACTGATACCAATAAAAGAGTATGAAAAAAGTGGGATGCATTATGGAAAGTTCTCAATTGAAGCATGACAAGAGATCTAAAGCAACAAGGAAAGGGGGATGAGAAAAGCAGAAAGTGAGATAAACCACTATGAAAGGAAATATAAAGAGAGTAAGCATAATCATTAACATATTTTATAGATTTATTTCAGTGCTTCCTGAAGAATCTGGAGGTATGTCCTGGACAGCCTGAGTTGAATAAATAACTGATAAATTTACTTGTTGCTTTCATATGTAAAAGTGCAGTATCCAGGAGATGTTTCTATAAAATTTTCTTGAATTGTTTCTCAGATATTTATTTTTTTATTAAATTTATATTGGGAATGAATTACTATTTCTTACTGCTGCAGCTGTAATTCATCTGAATTCACAATTCTTTTTTGTGAAGTCTGAGTGAATATTTTTATCCATGGTTTTAAAATCTTTTAACTTTGTCCTCTTAAGGGTACTTCCAAGATATCAGGTGCTTACAAATGCTGAAACATGCACATAGTTTTAGGAGTTGGTAGATAAATCATTTAATGATGTTCATTTCTTCCTCCCCCCCCCTCCCCCTTCAGGTACATCTGTTATCTCATTGGGCCCAAAAATCAAGATCTGGAAGGATGGGAATGTTATCCAAATTCCTCTTCCAGATTCAGTACAGTTTTCTCCAACAGTGATTCAGGAGTCTTGGCTGCAAAAACTGAGGAGGCCCTTAGTCAAGAAGACCAGAGGAGGTTCTGCTGCAAAAGTTTTCTGCTCAGATGATGGAGTAGTCATCCTCATAGTTATGCCCACTCAACACATTCATCTCTGGCATGGTGGAGAAAATGCTATGCCTGATGCTTGGCACTTCACAGATCATTTCAAAGAGCTGGTCCCTCACAGCACTTATTCTCGAGTTCTGTTGGATGCATTCTTTCCTATTCCACCACATCAGGTAAGCTTCAGACAGCATCAATTTTGAGAGTGATTGCTATGGGATAAGGTGGATGTGTGCTAAATAACTTTGACTTGTGATGGTTCTGTCAGGTGGAGAAGCCATTGGCTAGGCTGGTTGGAGCATTCCTCTGTCATGATGGGGCTATTCATATGGCACTTCTTTCCTGGACACATAAGTGGGCTGGAGGAACTCTTCCTTCACTTGACATTTCTTCCTTGAAACTTCGAGTGTGCATTGGAAAAGAATTCAAATTCCTTGCTGGATCCTTGAAGTGCGAGACTAAACTCTTGGATGAAATTTTTTTACACAATTTTTTTGCATTCCTTAATTTATGTGATATTTTGAGATTTGGCATCTCTTCCATACCTACAGACCTCCTTTCCTAATATGCAATCAACTAACTTTGACACGGTAGTGTTGCTAATTTTTAAAGGTTTTTTCCCATGTGGAGGGGAAATGAATAAATCCCACTTCTTGATTAGTGAAGGAATTAGGAAGTCCTAATTCAAAATCTGTTCTTTTCTGTCCAGCAATGAAATGAGGACAGTTATAATTTTGTCTATTTGGGAAAAAGCCAGTGTATTCATATTGAAAGCAAGGGTTTGCCTGGGCCTGCTAGTGCCCTAGCCACTCCCATTACCATACTGCATAAAAATGACTTAGAGAGCTCAAGATAAAGGAAAGAAAAGTGGTCAGGAGCCAAGCAAGAAGTGGATGAGAGGGTTCATTACATCAAGGGAATCATCTTCATTTGCTACCATGTAACAATGAAAGATGATTCTCCAATGACTAATGAGAATCTTGAGAAAGGTGTGAACATTGGAGACCTTGAGACCTTTGTGTGGATGGAATGATTTGGGAGATTGACCTGTGATGGAGTTGGTTCATGAGATTCAGTATGAATTCCACATAGGTGATCATTGGAAGGATCATTCAGTTTCACATGTGTAAAATTTTGAAGGGCAGTTGGTGCAAGAGATGAAATAGATGACATCTTTCATCCAGCAGGACAATGTGAGGTCTTGAAATTTCCTTCAAGGCCTTTTGATTTTCAAGTCAAAAAGTTCTTCCAAATCATTCCATCAGCAAAATGAATGGTCCAAGTTTTCCACTGTTCACATCTTCATCAAGATTCTCATTGAACTTGAGAGATTGTCCCAAATTTCAACTTTGTACCTACCCCCCTAATGCAATCAACCTTTTCATCCACTTCCTGGTTGGCTCCTGATCTCCTTTCATCTTTTTTTCCTTTTTCTTCTTAAGCATTCTGACTTCTTTGTTCTCCTGTGACACATGCCAGATCTCTGAAATGGCTACTTGGCCAACATATTTGGATTTATTTATCTCCAATAATTTGCTTGAGACTCTTTATGAAGTGATTTTTATACACATGGGTCCATGCAAGTCATAGAGGGCTTTAAAATCTCTTGGCATCATTCCAACAGTAGCATGAAAAAATAATTGAAGAACATGAAGGGTTGAAAAGATGAATAATTTTGTTGCAGAGGTGATGCATATCATGACATTGACCTGAAAATGATCTCTAATATAGATGTAATTGGAGTGGAACTTTGGTGGGATTGGCTTGGACAGTCTCTGCTCAGGCTGCTGAATCTGCTGAAAGCATGGTTGCTTTTATTTCTCTGCAATCAGGAGGTGTAAGAAAAATCCCTTTTCCTATGGTAAACAGGATGAATAAACTGGACAGGTAAGTTTATATTCTTCAGGGTATGGGCAAAAAAACTCAGTTTTACTTCACATATCTCTGCTCTTAGTGGAACCTTTTTCTTGTTACTTTCTCTACTCACCCTGTATATCAATTACTAAATTGAAAGAAGGCTCATCTGAACCATCTGCAACAAAAGGCCAGCACACAGCTTCAAATATAGCAGAAGAAATGTTCCAGGTGATATGTAACCAGTGTGAAATTGTTTCTTCCACTTGACTATTGGCATTGGCTGGTAAATTTTCAATATTCAACTTCTAAATAATTCTGAAAGTCATGCTTCAATACATTGAATTTGAATGAAAATTTTCAACTGTCTTGGGAACATATCAGCTCAGGACAAGTATAATGACAATTGCTGCACTAAGAGTTGAGATTTATAGGCATAAAGCAAGGGTTTTTTTCCCCCATACCCTGGAATTTCACCATAAGTGTACTGGCACTGGCATTTTGAAATGCTACCTTCTGCAGCACATTTTTATTTCATTTTGCTGTCAGGGTTTCCAGTATTGGATGGAGCAGTGATGACATCCTACTTCTCTGTCTCACCAGCAGTGGGTCTTTGTTCTGCTTCTCCACTCTTGGACAATGCCTTTCCACTTGCCTTCTTACTGGTAATAACCCAAAATACAACCCCTTTCCATGTCTCATCTTTGATTTGGTGGTCCCAACAAGAGCAAGGTGGGATATTTTATGCTTGTCCTTCCACATTTGGATTCCACATCTACCACACATCAGGTTTTTGTTTGACTTTCAGGATTGCTGTGACACCTGAGGACTTTTCTGAATCAAGTGTAGATGAAAGTAAGGTGAAGCCCAAGATGCATCTGACTACTCACAGAAATTCTGGGCTTGTGGCTATATCCAATGGATTTCACTTCAGAGTTCTTCAACTAGCTCCTGAGTTCACCAGGTGGCAGCTTCTTTACAGAACAATTTGGGAGACCCCCAACAAAAGTAGTACTCTTAACCCTTTTGGTGTCATCCCAAGCGCGTACTCTGGATATGCCTGCATGCTTGCCTACGGGATAACAATTCGGGTGGATGCCGAAAGGGTTAATGGAACATACAGTACCACCAGAAAGTTTGAGGCAGGTTGGAAAAATGATTCCTTTTCAAGAAAAAGACCAAAAAATGTAATGCTCTTTTTTCAAACAGAATGTAAATGAATCATGGTGGTTTTTATTAGTTGAAATTGTTATTTTCTTTATAATTGGTAAATTTTTTTTCTTCAAATTATTTGTGATTTCATGCAGGAACACGTTTTGCTTCCTATTTCTAGCTTCACTTTAAAGTGTGTTAACATTAAAGGTTTTTACATTTTGAAAATGTTTCATCTTGTAGATATTATATTTCATCAATTTCATTTTAATTACTACATTTTTTACTATTTGGAACAATTATACTGCCAATGATCTCGCAAAAGAGACAGATTCAATTTTCCATTTTGCAATTTTTTGAAAAAGTTGCAAAAATGGGCAAAATATTAGATCTAACCATTACAGAAAGAGAAAGAATTATTATTTATTCAGAGGAAGGATACTTGCAAGTTCAGATTGCAACAGAAATTACCGTTTCCCGTTGCTGCGTACAAAGAACTTTGAAGCGCTTTAAGAGATTTTGTACTTGTGAGACCCAAAAATGAACTGGCAGGTCGAAAAAAACAACAAAACAGCAAGATATTGAAATTAGGATAATTTCTTTATCAGATTGATGACTGACAGCTGGTAAAATGATGTCCTTATACAATCAATTCAATGGTGTTCCCATCAGTACTTTAGATGGTGAAAAACCGTTTAAAGGAGTTCGGACTAAATGGATGTGTAGCTGCATGAAAACCACTGCTGTGTCCAATTAATAAGAAGAAAAGACTGGATTGAGCTCTCCAGCATAAGGATTGCATGGTCAGAATGTGGAAACAAGTGCTCTGGACTGATGAGTCCAAATTCAAAATCTTTGGCAGCAAACATCGAGATTTTGTGCACAGGTTTGCTGGTGAAAGATTTGCTGAACAGTGCTTGGTTCCCACCATCAAGCATGGAGGTAGTTCAGTAATCGTTTGGGATTGGTTTGGTGGTGATCAAGTAGGAAGCCGCATAGAAGCAGCGTAGAAGTCGCATCGTGCAGGGACTTTTGGAATGGCAAGTATTTCTCTCTGGCATGAAACTATTCAGAGGCCAGTATGTGATCATGCATGACAACGATCCCAAACACACTAGCAAGATCTGTAAGAGCTATTTGGAAGAGTTGAAGCACCTTAAAATCATAAAAATAATGGACTGGCCACCACAATTGCCCAATCTGAACCCAATTGAATTGTTGTGGGAAGAACTGGATCACAGAGTGCGACAAAGACAAACATCATCCACTGAAAGACCCTGGGACATTCTGCAACTATGCTGGAACAGCAGTCCATTGGCTACATTTGAAAAATTGGTCAGCCCAGAATGCCCAGAATCTCTGCTGCCATTATAAAAATCGTGGTGGTTATTTCTATTTCAATGAGAGTAAAATTTGAATTGAAAATAAAAAATAATTGATTTTTTTGCACAAATATGTATTTTTGTATTGTATATAAATTGAAAAAAATTATTTTTTTCAGAAAAAGCATGCAATTTTTTCACATTTATTAAGATTTGCAAAATTTTCCCACCTACCTGAAACTTTCTGGTGGTACTGTAGATGCACTTGATTAAAGCTTCATATTGGAGTGTAATTCATCAGGTAGCTATTCAGCCTATGCTGTGATTGTACCCTAATGCAGAATTTCTGAAACTGGTACCAGTATTGATATTTCAATTTTCATAGATTAATTATTGTGTTGGTAGGCAATAGTTAGAAACAGCAAATTGGGAAATGCTTTTTGAGGGAAATGAATCTGTTGAAGTAGTCAATGACTTCTTCAGATTTTGGATCAGGAAAAATATCAAGCTAGACTTCAGGAAAGGCAGAGAATTTCGGTTATGTTAGCCTCTTTAATCCTAGTGCCCAGAATCTTGGACATTTGGAGTTATATCTATTAGTCAACATACAGGGTGGCCCAAAAGTCATGCACCATGAGAGATTTCACAATTGTACTCTATTAATTCTTATAATAGTAATAATGATAGTAAATATTATTATAATTATTCCCATTATTATTATCAATTGCACCCTCTCATCTTCGTGTTAATTTGGCAGCCATCATTTACCTGGAAAGAAGGAAAATGAATTAATGTATTCCAACAGTGAAATTCCCTATGGTGTGCGACTTTGGGGCCACCCTGTATATTCAGTGGAACAGAAAATCCTGTTTCAATCAGTGTAGACATAGGAATGAAAGCAGATGAACCACTAACAATCAATTCACTGGCCCTTCATAATGGTGCAGCCGATATTAGCACGTTGACAACCATGGCCATATTGGCCTGGTGACTTTAAGTAGTTGATAAAATTTTACATCCCTTGGAGAAGGTGAAGCACAGGGTGCATTGGTGCACTCCATGGTGCAGGAAAAGGGACTTAGTGAGGCACACCAGTGCACCCCATGGCAGTTAACCTGTTAAAAAGAGGATGTTCTGCACTGGAAAGTGCTTGGGACTTGAGGATGTATTTACCCATTAACTGTGATGATGACTTTCAGAACATGGAAGGCGATGGAAACATGTCTCCTTTGGACCCAGTTCTACATTCTCAGCTGGGAATCTGATAGAAAGGTGACTCAGAGACGAGTTCTTCAGACCCTCAACCACTCGCTAAGAATGCAGTCTGATGTAGAAGTACCAGTGGACAAGATTGCCAGAATGAAGAGGATGAATGTCATCAACAAAATCAGGAAATATCCATTCAAGGAGAAGCTGATTCCTGGATCCGTTCAGAGGAGGAGGGATGAACAATTAAGTGAGTCAGGACATTGGCCTAGCAGCTGTCTTACTATTGAGTATAAATTTCAATTCAACCACATGTTCCTGAAGTGGACTCCTTTTGCCATGTGCTCATGCCTAATATCTTCACCACTTCTTCCATTTCATTTATTCTTGAACACAACAGGAACATGGCCCTTGTTTCAACTTGAACCATGAACCACAAAAAATTTTATTATGTAAATTTATCCCCCTCAAAGACCCCCCCATAATTATTACAAAGGATATGAGAAAGCTTTGCTGCAGTCCATGGCTTGCACGTGCAGCACTGGATGATTATTCGCAATGTATCATCTGTGCCTTCACCCACTGCAAAAAGAGCCCTACCAGGTACACATGCTAAAAGTAGAATTTGGGGGTGATTGCCCCCATTGGGCTTTATCAGAAAATATTTTTCCTTTATGCAATACCTCCTGTTGGAAAACAGCAATTAACATAAAGTTAATTTTTTTTGGGGGTGCGGGGGTTGAGTGGGGGTACTGCTAGCTTCCCTAAGGGAATTCCCTTTGAACTTATCTTCCATGCAGTACTTTTTTTTACCTCTACTGTAACAACCACTATGGTAACAACAAATTTATGGAATAATTACCCCCACTCAGAAAAGTGTGCAGCCAGGGGATGTATTCCAAAAGTAGGATTTATCATGAAATCAGCACCATGAGAACTACATGTGTACCTAATTTCAGCTTTCCATCGTATCTGGAACATGCTTGAGAATTAGTGTCAGTCCTAATTGTCTATATATATTTGATTATTTAAACCGAAGTGGTTCTCCATTGTCTTATTTCTGAATACTTGCTACACTCTTTATTCCTCAATTTATATGCATGTCCTATTCTTCTGGTTATTCATTCATAATAATTGCCAGTTTTTGAAGAGCCTTTCCATGTGAACTGTACTTTCCATGGTTTGTATTTAACTGAGGTGTATGTGTAATTATTCTATTTCCAGGTATTGAATCTCTGCACCCAGTCACATTCAGTAATGGAGCCTATGAATGTCTGCTGCCTCATGAGCTGGGAGAGCAGAGATTAAGCAGGAAGGTCCAATTGCAGAGAGCATCTGAAGCCTTGATTCTCAGTTGGAACCTAATCTCTGTTGCTGAAAGTAGTGATGAGGCAGGGCACAAAAACTTTGAAGACATGCTTTCATGCCTTTGTCAGTTCTCCATCCAGTGGTTGTTCCTCATTCTCTCTCCAGCGCATCACTATCCAAAAATTAAGGATCCAGCAAGACTTGTCTTCAAGTTTCTTGCTCAGATTGTGGACTCTGCACGATTTGATGTGAATCGTCGCTGCCCGCTCTACACAATACAAATTTTTCTTAATGTATCTCGTCTGGTTGGAGAGTCACATTTTTCATGGAAGGTCAAGGTCTCTTATGCTTATCGCCTGTGTCAACTTGCTAACACACTTAACATGATACTCTCTCAGCTCTTCCCTCGTGAAATCAGCATGATTGGACAATGGCGTATCCTTTGGCTTGCCCTGCATCATCTCCTCTCTCAAGTGAAGGATAATATAAAGGAAGACTCAGATCATCATTCAGTCAAGTTGCTTGTGTCTGCACTTGCCTTCACAAAGCGAAGGACTGGCTCAAGAATGTACACATCCATACTGACACCAGCAATTATTAGTCCTAATATTGCTATTAAAATACTCAAGGGAGATGTGTTGGAAGTGCAAGATGAATGGTTTCGGACAGTGGCAGATGGATTTTCTAGTTCAGAAGCACTACGCCAGTCAAGTCTGTGTTATCCCCTTCTGGGGATTCTTTATTCAGGGATGAAGGACTTCCGTCCTGCTTTGGCCTGCCTTCCTCTTGAATGGCTTCTCTGCTCTAAAATTCTTCTTCCACAAGGTCTGGAACACCCTGACATTCAGGAATATATAGTCAGCTTGGGGCGAATCATGGAGATGTACCTCTGCAAGGGAAAAATATATGTCCCCCTTCCAAATCAACTTAAGGGACTTGATTTTACTGAAGACGCAATGAACCCAGGTGGGTTGTAGTTTTCATTGCAGCTCTATATTTAAAAAATATGGATTTGGAACAGGCTGAACTAGAAAGAAAGACCTAAAATGGGACAGAAAATAAATATTAAAGTCATTCATGGGAATCATTGCCATATTTTGGCACCATATTTAAACAGCACTATGCCATCAACAAAGAATGAATGAAGTAATACTCATTCTTGCCAACCCTGCCTTGGATGTCCAGTTCAGTTCCACATTTACTGAGAGATATTTTACAGAATATCTGAGCCATTTTTGGAAAGATATGTAAGCATACAACCTGTTCAGGCAACACTTGCAAGAGGGTCATTCTATCTCAAATCAGCCTAAGGCCGGAGTATGACCCCCTTCGATATTGATGAAAATTTTTTGTGTTACCCCTCATGGCCCAATGCAAGAATACAATGGCTTTGTGTATGGAGCCATTTTGGCACAATAATTCATTAAATTTTGTAAAATTAAAAAAAAGGTGCACCTCTTCATGCTCATGTGGGCCAAAAACTTTTCAACCAAAACGAATGTAGCAAACACCCTTGTTCTTTAAAAAGGTTAGACTTTCAAAGTTATTTCATATACTTTTTTCCTCAAGGTGATACTGAATAAAATAAAGCTATGGAAAATTTGCCAATTTTTGCACATTCAGAAATTTGCAAAATGGCAACATGTTCATCAAACTCTATCATATATGTTTTTGGAATCAGCAGAAGATCTAATGATGTGTGTCCCGTTTTTGTCCCAACAAAATCCACTTTAGGAGATGTGATGGCTTGAAATATGCAAAAATCACAAATTTTGCAAAAAAAAACCACTGTTTTCAATTGTATGGTGCCATTTTCCTTTGCATCTCAACAAACTTGAAAAATTTGTAGAATGTCTGCCTTTCACATGTGTAAAAGATGAGAGCAATTTCAAAGCTCATATATTTTTTTTAAATGCATGACATGCATTTTTATTCAGACCTCGCCTCACAATTTCTGCTGTTGATTTTAAGGCCAAAAAGCACAGTTCTCATTACCAGTTCTTCAATTTTTTTTTTCATAATTCCAATCAAAGGAAACATTTTTGGCCTTAAAAACAACATTCTATACAATAACAACTGAATTTGTAAACTGATTTAGAATCATTTAATAGTTTTCAATATGGCCACCCTTGGCATGGATGACAAGGTTCAGATGACCCATGAAAGAATTGATTGATTTTCACAAGTCTTCCTGTGGAATTTGCTCCCATTCTCAGTTCAGGGATAGCTTGAGAGAATCCAAAGAATGGTGTTTTGTAGCACTCACTTAGCTCTCCAAGATGAACCAAATCGAAAATCCAAGGGGTTGACATTGGGGTAGAAAGGGGGCCATTGTGAAGTCAAAATGAAGTCAGGGACATTTGTCCACAGCCACTCCTGGGTCATCCGTGCCTTGTGAGCTGGTGCTGAGTCCTGCTGGAAGACTCAGCTGCCTCCATTGAAATGATTCATGGCCCACTGAACCAGGCAGTCTTCCAGGATGCTTTTCCAGTATACTTCAGCATTGACCTTCATCTTCTCAGGCACAAAAACAAGTGGAGTGCATCCAGAAGTGGTAGTCCCAGCCCAGGCCATTACAGAAGCTGCCCCTTGACGCCAAGTGGCTTGAAAAGCACTAGATTTTGATTTTTTTATTTGGTCCATCTTGGTGAGCAAAGTGTGTGCTACAAAACACCATTCTTTGGATTCTCTCAAGCTATCCCTGAACCAAGAATGGGTGCAAATTCCACAGGAAGACATGTGAAAATCAGTCTGTGCTTTCATGGGTCATCTGAACCTTGTCATCCGTGCCAAGGGTGGCTATATTGAAAACTATTAAGTGATTCTAAATCAGTTAACTGTCCTTGTTATTGTACATGAAAAATTTTTCCTGATTTTTTTTTTTTGCTGAGGTTATAGACATACTTCGATGGAACACAACTTTCTTAACACCCTGTATTGCTGAGAATATACCTATGTACTAGTAGGTTATCTAGGTATATAGGTATATTACCTACAGTAGTGTGCCCAGAAAATCCCAGTGGGGGGGTTGTCTTATGAAAAATTGGTAACCCACCCTGCATATAATATGGCCAAATTAAAAATTTTCTGAGAATCAAACCTGTAAAACTTATTTCAAGGGGGGGTTATGACCCCCAAAATCCCCTTGGGCACACCACTGATTACCCTTATACATATGACTTTTTTGTATTAAGAGAAAGTCTGGAGTTTCTCAAAATGAAAGCCTCCATAAGTGGAAAAAGAAAAAGTACTGAATTTTATCATTTGCATGTAATTTGCCCATGAAAAGGTTAATAGAATGAATGTCATAAGGCAAACATAGTTCAAGACTGCTTTTGGGTTGTATTTATTGTCTTAAATTTTGGGATGCTATATCTCAAGAACAGTTTGTCCCAGGACCAAAAAAAAAAATAGACATCCTTCCACTTCACTATAAACTAAACTTGCTTGCCAAAATGTGTTCAAGTGAGAGAGGTAATCCTTTTGAGGGTGTGTTAATTTTAAATGGAATTACATCATATACTTTTGTCTCTTAGTATGGTGTGAAAACTTTTCCCCCATTTCATTGGTTTTGTTGTAACTTGGAGACATTATGTATTTGGAGTAATACTGGACGTGCCTCAAAAGCTTCAACCTGTCATGAGGGCTAGATTTGATTACAAAATCCATTGATGAGGTTTTAGCAAGACACATGGTATGTCATGCCATTCAAATGAACTTTTTTTTAAATGCTTTACTTGAATAGAAATAAGATTTTTCAGTGTGTCTCAAGCTTTGGCTCTTGATGATAAGTCGTCCATTTCAGGAATGTTCAAAGTATCAAATTCTGTGTTGCCCCATTGATGGTTCTTGATTGACCTTTTGTGGATGATGCTTGATGATTATATCCAGGAAGGTCAGCAACTTCCAGGCGTGATTAGAATTCCTCGACCATTCCTCGACCCCCCCCCCCTGCCATTTAAACTTAGTCCTTCTATTACAGGTCAAATCTCGTTAAAACGAAAATTTTACCGCAACGAAAATATTTCCAAACCCTAGCCAATGGCCCATAGTAAGAGTACTTTGTAGATCTCATTAGAATGAAATTCGTTACTACAAAAATTCAGCACAGTAAATGCTTTAATGATTCCAGTTCTTGTACGTATAATAGTCATTCATTACAATGAAAAGTTATCTAATACCTCATTGTTTATGAAGAGGCGGTCATCTGTGGTTCGCGGCAACCCCCCTCCATCCCTTGGGACCTTGAGAGTCAGAATTCTGTTTCCCGTGCTTACAGTGTAAAAAGTGTTAACACAAGGAGGAACTTACAGTAGTCGGCGCAGGCTAGTCGTGGCCAAAACCTCATCACTTACGACATTATACTTGTGTGCCCCATCTCGCAGACATTGGCTAACAAGGGAAACAAGAAACATTTGCAGTTTTCTTTAGAAGGAAAAATTAAAGTAGTGAAAGCAGTAGATTCCAGCAGGAAAAAAACAAGACATGGCTAATCACTCCTTCCACCTTATCCACGTTCTTGAAGGATCGTGCTAAATTTGAAGAAAAGGTGAGGAAAGCTGCTCTGAGACCGAAACAAAGAATGTGTGGTGCCCTCAATGATGACATCAATGAGGTTTTGCCTTGTTTCAAGATGTTCATGCAAAAAACAATCTGGTATATGGTCCACTCGTTCGGCACAAATCGTTGGACTTTGCAGACCTCCTTGTCGAATTTCAAGTAAGTGTTGACTGGCTTAACATATTTCGTGGACGCTATGGAATTGCATCAATAGCAATCTGCGGAGAAGAAAATGACATTCCGATGGTCCGTTAAAACGTCAACAATAGTGAGTGCAAAAAAAGAGGGCATATTTTCCAATGGAAACGCCTGATGCCAACAAGTCGATAAAACGGATCTTGCAATATAAAAATTTTGGAATTCAGTCACTCATTGTCATTGTCTCAGGTGTTCCAAACAAGGTAGATATTGAAGAATTTGTTGCTGCAGATAACGATTAAGTCATTTCTCACCAGTTAATGGACATTGAAATTGATGAAAGCGTGCTGGCTGGTTCAAGGTCTGATTAAAGTGAGTTGAAAGTGAAGATGACAAGAGTGTCAATTTGCCAGAACAGCTGAAAATGATCATTGGAGAAGCCATCGCAAGTGTAGAAAAATTATGGATGTTCCTCATGCAGTTTTTGGACAATTAAATGGTGTAGATGAGTATTTAATGACAAATGCAACACAGACTCCTGCACAAACCAAAATGACTGATTTTTTCTGAACAAAATAAAGTGAAAAATTACTACTTCTGTGGCCTGTATGTTGGAAAGCATAGCTAATTTGAATAAAGAATGCTTCTTCTGAACTTATTTCAAGCAATTTTTTATAAAATGAGATTTCTGTACAATAAAATAATCTGGACACACCCTTAAAGTTCGTTGTAACTGAGATTTGACCTGTATTTATTCTGAATTAATATGGGTTGGGATAATCAAGGAAGACTTGAACATGTTTGTGTTTCGTTCAAATGGCACTGTTTGCATTTTTAGGAGTTCATATAAGTGCAGGAGATCTGATTCCTGCCTTAGCAAGAGACAAGGTGGAAGAGATTTGGAATCCATCTGTGGTGCTGACCATTTTCCTTCATTATGGACTCTTTGATGATGCCATCCGTTTTGCAGAATGTATTGGTGACTGGAAGACAGCTATTCTTCTCACCATCCTTGAGTGAGTTTTGGCTGAGCAAGACTTGTGTTCCTGGTTTGAAAAGGTGGTAAATCTCCTGCAACTGTATTTTGCATATGTATTTCCCAATGAAACCTCTTTCAACCTTTCTAAGAATATCACTAACATCATGCTTTTCACAGGCAGCATGCAATGATGCTTTACCTTGGTAGGACCTTTAGGGAGCACTCAGAGGGTATTTTGCAAGCTGATGGTGCTCTTCATCATGATTTTTTTTTCAATTTTCCTTATGCCAGGAGATATCTACTTCTAGTGACATGAAAATGTAATCAAAACCCCTGTCACTACAAAAAAGGGTAATACAGCTTCACAATGCTCCTAGTAGCACAACATAAAAATAGATTTGAAAATTTGATAAACATCACCAAATTCTTCCAATCCATCCACATTTAACATTTAGATTAGATGTGAATGCAGAACATGAATTTAGTTCAAAACACATTAAATTGAGGGAATGATTCAAAGACTTGGCTTGGAGATTCAAATGACATGTGACATAAAAATGTGGAATTTAGATCTAAGCACAAAAGTTCATGGCCTTGGCCATCCAGAAAGGAGTTGTCATCTTCTCTTTCAAAAAGGAGAATGGTGGATCAATTATTGCTTCCTCATCAGAAACCATTTTTTCTTGACAAGAAATGCACCTCCATCCAAGTACCCAATTTAAGGAGAAAGTGACTTGTTTGCACACCATACTGACTAATCCCATGCATGGTTTGTTTTGTTTAGGCTGAAGGAGGAAGGGCAGAGGCTAGATATCCTTTGGAGGCATATCCAAGTCCTAATGGGGAATCCAAAAGGTCTACTGAATTTTAAGAGAGATCAGCTGCAGTCTCTTTTATGCCATGGAGTATTGCTTGATGGAGATCCTGTACCACGACTCCTTCAAGACACTGTTATCACCATTTTGGGATTAATGAAGCAGTTCCCTCTCATTGTTGATGATGAATTCCCCCTTCCAGCAGTTCCAATCTATTGCTACCATGACTATGAAGAAGGTAAGAGTCAAAGTGAATGTTACTTTCACCAAATAAAACGAAAGGGAAAGAGTTTTACTTTGAGTGACTTTTGGCTTTTTGGGATGTTGGTAATTCTCACAGACTTTTACAGGTATTATCTTATGAGATGTATGAGAGTAGCAGCAAAATTAGCATTTTTGTTAATGCTGCCCTCTAATCATGCAAAAAAGCTGCAGGATGCTGGCATTATACTTGGGCTGTCTTGGTACATCATCACTATCTATGGTTGGTGTAGTAATGCATTAGCATATTGACAAAGTACCAGCATCAAAAGTATCTGATGTGTAAGTCATGATGTGATCACACTGAATTGGGAAAATGAGAGAGAAAAAATTTGAGGGAGGGAGAAAAGAGTTTTGTTGATAGGAGCTACTCTAGATAGGGATAGAAAGTAGAAATGAGTTTTCTTAAATGTGTTTTTAAGTCTGCTTGCACTGGCTTTCTGCCTATTCTTGCACAAAGCTGTGGAGCAACACAGAATATCCTGCATATCTTGCAAGGTTCTCCACCAGACCTGAAATATTCATCTGAAGTAGTCTCCATTCCTTCTTCGCCCCATGACTCACAGTTTATCAGTGATAGCATGTTTTGCCTGGTAATGCATTGATGCACCATTGCTGTTTGCAAAACTGTTGTTGTGACAGCCATTTAATACACTAGTGCTACATACCAATTCGTTGGGAAGTGGACTGTATCAGTTCTTCAGAGAGTAAATTGATCCCATTTCTTCTCCCTACTGAGGAATTGATCTTGATAGCTTAGCAAGTGAGGAAGTTTTTGGGATCCCTCAATTCATAATGGCACCTCTACAAAGTGAATGCAGAGATGAGATTTTCTTTTTTTTTTGTCTCTTTTCTGTTATTATAGACATGAAAGTGAGCTTTCAAGCTAAGTGATATATTTCTGCCACTGCTTGTTTTTTTTATAATTTTTTTTTTGTTTGCAAGACGCTATTGACTGTACTGCCTGTGTCTTGCCATTTTTCAAAGCAGAAAAATGGTACAAGACAAAGTGAACAGTTCGTTCTTCAACTGAGACACCTCATTTTCCTGTACAAATTGCACTGTACACAGCACGGGTTGAGAAGTTCTCATTTGGCCATTGTCTTATTTCTTTTAGACATGTATTTCTGAGTTGCTGGATTATCTCTTAGGATGCATTAATAATAATAAAAAATCATTTTTATTCCCTTTTTTAAAAATGAAATTGGAAGAGTTTACTCTCATGAACAGGTATCCTTTTCTTCTAGCTTTCACCATCACAAGTACTGAATCAAAACGGAGAAAGGAACTAGCCCTTCATGTACTTCATGCCATTGAACTTTTGAAACTCAGTAACTGTCTCCAGCTCTGTCTTTCATCCCTTCTGAGTATTATCCATCAGGTTAGTGTCCTCATCTTGTACCCAGTGGCATTGTCAAGCCTTGCTGGGAGGGAATCTTCTTTGGTGATTGTAGGCCCATGCAGACTCAGACAATAATTGGACATCTCCGGATTTGGAGGCATTGCTGTCCCTGGTTCCAGTGGAATCTACATCGATGATGAAGGGAAATGATAGCATCAAGAAAGTCCTGGAAGCATTTGATGAGTTGTGTGCCATTTTGTGGACCTTCGAAATGAGGGATAAGCTAAGCCTGGCATGGAGACAATGGCATAGGCTGTGTCTCATGAGGACCCCCTGCTCCTTGGTCAGTGCCATCACCTAATTAGCCCATTAGTGCCTAGAATTATTTTTTAGTGCATGATCATGAAATGGGGATCAGTTTTGGCCATGAAATCTCCCCTATAAAATTAGACTTCTTTTTTTTTTACTTTGTATGTTAACATATACCTTATGCAACTTGCTTTTAGATGGTTTGCAATTCACTTTCGCATTTGGTGAGGGAAGAATGTCGTTGGAAATAAGTGTGGAAAGTAGAAGCAGTTTCGGCTTATCAGAATCGGCTTTCATCCATGAGAACTGGATCGCATTCGGAGACATACTGTTTCGGCAATGAAAAGTCCTTTTCGGCTTTTCCTATGGAAGCAAGACACTTTCCGGCTAAAATTCGCTATCGACGAGCAAAAATGAAATTGAAATGATTGCGAGTGAATACTCACAGAATGTTCCTCGGTAGAGCGGATTGCAAATGCAAATTTGAGACATTTCCAGGGAGAATGTTATGGGACGTTCTTACGAGTGGAATGGGAATTCGATCAGAAGGGCTGCAGGATAGGCAAAAGTTCCTTCCGCATTTCAGTGAAAAGAGAAAAAAACTCCCTAATTTGGAAAGATGTCATTCCGACTTTAAACCCGTTATTACCCATTCCCAGTGCGAGAGCAACTCTTAACACGTGTTTGCAAGTCGAAATATGTTAGCGATTTCACAGGTGCTTCACATTTGATGCTCGATCTGGCTGAAAAGTAGGCCCGAGTGCCGAATATCGTCATTTGTGCCGAAACCCAAATTTTTCGCTGAATTTCAATCGCCGATCGTCCGTTTTGTGTTTTCCAAATGACGAAATGTAGGGAGAAATGCTGAAATTCCGATATAAGGTGACGGGAATATCTGCGGATTGGCAAAGCCTGCCGAGCATCATTCTCTGTGTGCCGAAAATTCATACTGAACGCCGATATCCGAATTCGCAGCGTTATTCCCCTTACATTGAGAAACAAGGGAAAATGTACCAAAATGAATTACAATCCTCATTAAGGGGGATTACAGAAGGTTTAAAGCTTCTTGATATCGGAATACATCGCTGACAACGGTTGGCTCATTAACCCCTTGACCACGGGATTGACTGAGCCAGCCCAGCATCCCAACGGTATTATTCCAGCCTCAGCCAGGCGCTAAGTCCCACGATGTAAATATACGCTATCCGTAGGAAGGTATAGAAAAACAGGTAGAGCAATGATTTTCATAATAGCTCTACAACTTTGAAAATCGAGATAATAAATCGCGTATATATACGTCATCCGTGGGAAAGGGGTTAATCATGCAGAGTGTAAGATTTCTGAAGATGTGCAGCGAGTTCCTGTCATTTCGCCGGTCTCTCATTACGAGGTGCGTTCAAGTTCTAAGGTCTCCTAATTTTTTTCTGGGGACCGGGTGCAGAAAGAAACATGCGTTTGAGCTTAAAATACGCGGGTACTCTTTGTTTATGCATGAACGAGATGGCAGCACCGTACAGCGCACAGGGTTCTTGTAGCTGCCGCACGAGTGAGAAGCGTTTTCAATACTTAAAATGGCGACGTTCAGTGTACAAGAACAGCGTGTAATCATCCGTTTTCTCCACTT